ATAATAATAATAATAATAATAATTTGGAGCCGTCGGATCGATTGGAAAAAGGTTCCGATTGCCTCATTGGAGGGATTCCTGGTAGCCCATAACTTAATGAAATTCTACTTTATCTATGTAAAATGTGTGTGATCTTAGGTTTTTTTTTTAAATTTAAAAACAATGATCAGTGGAAAATGTCATGAAGCCGTTTCAGAACTTAGGTCTCTGGTTGGGACCCAGAAGGAAATGTGTATACAACAGAAACATCAAAGAAATAATAATAATAATAATAATAATAATAGTAATAATAATAATAATAATAATAATAATATGTAACTCAGTCTGGAGGATAAAATAGCTCTAATCACCTTCCCAGAGTAACAACAATTGTTAAATAAAAGATTAGAATTTATCTCAAAATGCAGTCACGAAACATTCTTTTACTACGTTACTTAAAAATCGAACATTAAAAATGAATACCTTGTAAAAGACTACCATAAAAATGCAAATACATGCATTATACATGCACAGTATATGAACTGTATATGCAAATACATGCACTATATATGCAAATACATGCATTGTATATGCAAATTATGCACTGTATATGCAAATTATGCACTGTATATGCAAATACATACACTGTATATTTAACTACATGCTCTGCATATTCAAATACATGCACTGTATATGCAAATACATGCACTGCATAGAACGCTGTTAATGTAACATACTCTAGCGAGACAAAGACTTGAAATTAAATATAAAGTGAAGCGATACCGGAATTAAACAAAAATCTAAATAAATCAACAAATTAAGTAAATAATAAATAAATTATATGTTCGTCCTCCACATACGGAGATGACCTTGACTTCGAATCACTGGGGGAGAAGGCGAGGTGGGGGGGGGTTGGTTGGAGATGACAAGTGAGTCCGATCTTCGTCCTGAAAAGTCAGTTGTGACATGGGATGCTGGGGGCTGAACCAGGCTTGGAGGCGGCGCCCTCACGATCTTTCCTTTTCTGGCGTCTATGTTTTTTAGTCCCATGATTCTTTTCCGTTCAAAATCTGACACTCCAGACTTTAAATGGGAGCGTCAGATGGCATGGTCCTCAGCAGACACAAATTAAACAAATTAACAAACTACGAATACACATATAAATGTAATAATAATAATAATGAACACCAAAATAACACCAAAATTACTACATCTATTGCTTAATTTCATCGCTTTAATACTAGATGGTGTCAGGTCGATAGACAAAGTTTACATCCAGCAGCAAGTTCACTTATCATGAGATTGGAGGCTTTGAAGAGCGTAGAATCTCATCTTAATTGCTGTTGTTCCCGGGCTCAACCTGAACCGGGATGGTAGCAAGCTATGGTCAAAAAGTGAACTCCCAAACAAAAACAAAACACTATGAAAGTATAAAAATATATATTTATAATAAAATTACCAACAATACAATTTTAAAGCAAAATGGCCAACAATACATTTAAATGTACTTGAAGGCGTACAATTGTGTTCAAGAATTATTTATTTGAAGCCATAAAATTTTACTCAAAATATTTAGATTCGAAATTAAATAACTGTTATGGTCCAAGTTCCTTGTACCACGGGTGATGGTCCAAGGTTAGAACCAATGAAAGAATAACACGAACACAGGTATGGAATACAAAGATATATTACAACAGAAATATAATACAAAGAATTAGAAGTATTAGTAATGACTATCAGATTTGGTTAGAGTGAACTATGTTGTCTCGACAAGTATCACTTTTCCAATGTCCTTACAATAGGCTCTCAATTATCTCTTCTCGTCTTACAACATCCTCATACCTCTTGAGAGGCGCAGTATTTATAATGTCAGGAATAGTCCATTATTATTATGTGTAAGTTCCCATAACAATAACCCATAGAGGTGTTGATATGCCGCTAAACACAATGAGCCAATCAAACAACCAACATGAAAGAAATCTTTCATATACTTTCCATATAATATTCTACAATTTCTTAAAGAAATCAAAATGTATTCCAAAATATAACTTCAACAAAACTACGACATAAAACACTCATGGTCAAATAGGGTACCCCCCCAAAAAAAAACACCATGAAAGTATAAAAGTACATTTTTATAGTAAAAATACCAGCAATACCTTTTTAAATAACAAAATACGAGAAATATATTTATAAATATATATATGTATTTTTAAATAAAAAAAAATATAGCAACAATACATATTCGATCTCTACTTGTCGCCCCACGGAGGTAGGATGCGGCACAAGGTCAGTTTAATGTGGGGAGCACGTCCACCCGGGGCAATTTAAAAAATAGTCCATTCCCTGCAATCATCGCTTGGGCTGGCATCGGTATTACTAACGATCCCCCTCTCTGCTGCAACGAGGGAGGCACTACCGGGGGCAGCTGTTTCCTAAGACCGGGCACCTCTCAATTATGTTGGTTGCCCTCTGTCTGAAGACAAAGACGCAACTGAGTTGCGCTCTGGTATTTACTCATCCCCCCATGGCGACAAGATGTCACACAAGATCGGTTTTATGTGAAGCAGCTAAGCACAGACCAGGGCCTAAAATTGCCCAAAACCACCACCCACCCACGAAACCGTTGGTTGCGCTGGCATCGGTACCGATGCCAACCTTCTTCTTTAGTACAGTGAGGGAGTATTGCCTCAGGCACGTGGTCCTCCGGATCCGGGCACCTCTCAATATTTTTTTAGTTGCGATCTGTCCGTAGACGGAGACAAAACTAAGAAACGACAAACCGAATCTTATAGCAAAAATTACCAACAATACATATTGGCCTGTGTACCCGAGAAAACTTAATAAAGAAAATGTTGCCTCCAGCAGGAATCGAACCTGTGTCCCCCCTTTGCAGGAGAGAACCATTCAGATTTTTATCGAAATACATATCTGCTCAGTTTCTTATACAAAACGTAAGTAAATCAATTTCTAAAGAATTCATGGATTTTATTTTTTCTCGAGTACGTATGCCGGTAAACGAAATAAAAAAAAACTGTTTAAAATAAACGGAGCGTCTACTCAAATACGGGTATCCACTAAAAATAACGTTTGAAATGATAAAAATAAAGAAACGTAAACTACAGCCTGGTTTGTGATATATTTTTATTCTATTGTTGGTTGGGCGTGACGTTTAGCTTGGTTTATACAGTGGAGTATCTGACGAAAAGCAAACTAACCAAGCTCCATCAATAACAATATAATCAAGGCCGGATTTAAGCCTCATGAGACACCTGGGGCAATCGAATTTGCCCCCCCCCCCACCTTAATTACATATGTCTCCTCTATAAAAAAAAATATATTTTTGATGATTCTTTTTTGGTGTAAAACATAAAACAATTCAACTAAAATTTTTATTGTTTTTGGAATTCATCCAATTTATTTCATTAGCAACATGATAGTTTTTTTATCCTAAAGATATATATTTAAAATGAATGTACCGTATTAAATTGAAATTCCATAGAATTTAAAAGACCTACTCCCACTAGTGGGGTCCAAATATTGTAAACTGTTTCAAATTACTTCAAAGGATCCGCATTAAATCTGAAAATAAACAAATCTGTTCTTAGATCTTTCTTTTTTTTTCGGGGACTGCAACCGATACTAGCACATATGTAAATCCGGCAGAGAATATAATTGTTCAGCTTGTGCCAATTTAGGATGCTGTGAAGAAATCCTTTTATATAAAGAACGATGTGATATGGAAAAAAATTGCAATAATCTATTCAGTTTAATATCCTCACCTTTTTGGTCCAACTTACAACGTCTTAACCATTGTCCCACTTTTTTTACAGGTTTACATAGTGCTATACCAGAAAGAGGCCAGATTACCGAGTTAGGAATCCGGGGTAAGTAGCTCCAATCCAAACCGGATGAAGTAAAAAAAACAAAACACCAGTATATAGGAGTGAAAAGTATTTTTTCATTGGCTGACGATGACTGACGTATGTCAATAAGAACGGTCAGACTCCTAGCCATGTCAGAATATTTTTTGCAATGTTAAGGTGCGCAGCACGACGCTTTCAAGGAGGCGGCCAGACTCTTCTGGAATCAGGTCGGTGTTGTTGTTTGAGCCGATATGATGCAAAACCCGAAATCGGCGATGAGGACAGTGCATCACTGAAGACCACCCTTGATGCATCTGAAATATATTATGCAACTTAGATAATCCCCCAAATTATTCATCATTACTTTTTCAGCCGAATAAATTCTCCTCCTTTCAAAACCTTTCCGTTCTTCCTGATTTTTATCTCTGCGACTCGATCTTTGGAACCAACAATGAACTGTAGCTTGTATCTGGATTTATTTGATGAGAAATTTTCATTAGACATTAATCTCTTCGAATGAGTGCACACATCTTGGCTGTTATAGTCACGACATCTCGGCAATTGTACTCTTTGAACTTCTTCGTGTGCCGGTCGTATTCGCTAACCCTTTGAGAATTTTGAACCGAACACTTTATTTAATCTATAAAGGTAGATTGTTCTCAATCTGCTGTCCATACCAGGGGAGAACGCTTATGCTAGTTAATTTTTCTTAATTAAACTGTACTTGCAAAGTTGTTTCTACTTATTTTTTTACACTGAACTAAGAAATACCACATTCACTGCTTGACGCAGAGATTGAACTCGCAACCACCACGTAAGTAGAGGGACTTATTTAACGCCTTTATCTACTCGGCCTTGTTGCGATTAACACCAGCAAAATGATAATGTATATGGAAAGATATTAATGTATTATAAAAATACTACTACTGTAAAAAATAAAAAAAGAAGAAAGAAAGAAATTCTTATACAACAACAAATGAGAGTAAAGTTCCAAAAACACATTTTACAAGTAAAAATACAAATCCAGCACAAATGTAATATTTGTAGGTCCTCAAAATGGATAATGAGCATCTGAAAAAAGCGAACATTTGTTATTGCAAACTTGTAACATAAGTTCAATGAAAACATCTAATCACCCAATAATAGTTTTTAATGTTAGAATGTATGGATATAAGAACAATATGAGAAGAATAAAATAATATAAGAAGAATAAAAGAATCTAAGAAGAATATAAAAATATAAAAAAATATCAGAAAAATAATAGAATAAAAAAAATAAAAGAAGATTAAGAAAATAATATAAGAAAATATAAGAAGAATAAAAGATTATAAGAAGAATTAAAATTAATATTAGATAATATAGGAATATAAGAATAAAAGAATATAAGAAAATAAAAGAATATAAAATGAATATAAGAATATAAGAATAAAAGAATATAATAAACAAAAGAAAAAGAATATAAGAATAAAATAATATAAGATGAATATAAGAATAAAAGAAAAGAATATAAGAATAAATGAAATACAGATGAATATAAGAATATAAGAAGAATAAAAGAATATAAGAAGAATAAAAGAATATAAGAAGAATAAAAGAATATAAGTTGAATAAAAGAATATAAGATGAATATAAGAAGTCATTAATAACAGGATGATACTTTCGCGATATAAAATGTTATTTTATGCTTTTTTTTTAAAAGGAACCTCACTTCGTAAGATTAGGTTAGTTTTCATGCAAAGATGTAAGCATCTAATATTACGCACACACTGCAAAGTATGTAGAAATCATTGCAGTTCTTGAGAATTGCATCTGACGAAGTTAGATAAGACCGCTTCTAAAGCATTTTAAATTTGGAGTAAAGCATTATATTATGTTGGGAAGGGCAGTATACCGCTTAAGAAATTTCATTTTCTTCTTTTTTATTTTCTTCTTAATATTTCTATTACTATGTTCCCCTTCCTTTCTTATATTTCGATTTCATTATATTCTTTGATTTTATAAGACGTTGCAGGATTATTATTCGGATACATTTTTTTTTTATTAATATTCACCTTATACAAGGTCCAGTGCTACTCAAAGAAATTTAACCATTTCTGAAACTGATATTTATCAAGTTCTTCTTTCTTTTTCTTTTTATGTGTCGTGTCCTTTCAGGACGTAGGGGATCATGGCCCTCCACTTCTCCCTATCCCTTGTAGCTCTCAATAAGTTTAGTCTCTTTGCTACTTCCCCTAGGCCATGTTCTGTCATCCAGTTGCTGAAGCCCGCAAGGTATGTCATTCATTGCTTTCCCTTATCTCTCTTTCCCTTTATTCGACCTATGAGTATCAGATTCTCCAAACCCTCCTTTCTCATTACGTGTCCTAGAAATTTCAGCTGCCTCTTCCTGATGTTAAGTATAAGCCTCCTCCTTGTTTGCATCCTCTCCAAAACCTCATCGTTGCTCACACGCTCGGTCCATGATATCCTTAGCATCCTTCTGCAGAACTATATCTCCGTTGCTTCGAGTCTCTTCTTCATCTTTGAGGAGACCATCCAACATTCGCTGCCGTAAAAGAGGAAAGATGTCACGTAGTATCTCAGTACTTTTTTCTTTGTTACCAAAGTAATCCTCTTAATTTCGGCCTTGTGCCACATCTAAACTGTGCTTAGAAAATCACTGGCACCTCGAGGTGGTGTAATGGTTAGCAAGCTTGTCTCGCTAGAACAATTACAACTGAGTAGCGAGTTCGATTCTCACTGGGTGCCTCTTACGTTCGGCCTTGTGCCACATCCAAGCTACGCTTGGAAAATCACTATCAACCTCATTAGATTACTTAATTCCGAAATCTAAGTATTTTTATACTCAATTTTATTTTTAGATAATAATGGTTTTAGTGATACAAGTCTTACTAATTAACCCATAGCTGAGGGGAGAAAAGGTGAATTCATACCTTTCCCAAGGGTATTTGCGCGTAAGTGAAAATAACGGACCCAACGGGAATTGGAACTCGGCTCTCCGAGCCATTATCCACTACACTACCCGCACATCCAAGCTTACAGCACCTGGCATTTCCAAGCGATGATCCATCTAGGTACTGACCAGGGTCGACATTGCTTAACTTTGGTGATCATACGGGAAATATGCATTCATATTCGACTAAGAATAAATTTTTCTCTTGTTTTTATTCATTTCACAGATTTCTATCTTAAAACAATTTACACACACACACACACACACACACACACACACACACACATATATATATATATATATATATAGGGAGAGATAGATAGATAGATAGATAGATAGATAGATAGATAGGCATGTAGGTAGGTAGGTTGGTAGGTAGGTACAGAGAGAGAGAGAGAGAGAGAGAGAGAGACAGAGAGAGACAGACAGACAGACAGACAGACAGAACGACAGACTGGCAGATATTTTACTTTTAAGTGGCTGGTCTTCGGGCTATAGACGCGACTTAAAATACTTGATATAAGGCTTAAATACTAAGCCCTATATGAAGATAACTATTGGTAGATTAAGTGAGTACGCTGGGTAATGTCCATGAGAGATGATAATGATGATGATGATGATGATGATGATGATGATGATGATGATGATGATGATGTAATAACAAAGACATGCGCGGAGAAAAAAACGAGTTTCAGTTTGAAAAAAAGGCAAGAGGAAATACTCATTTCCGTTTTTTTCTTTTTTTTTTTAATCATCTATTTCTGGCGGCCATATTTTATCTGGCCGGAAAAATCGCGGGAAGTCTACGAGGACCAACTTCTGCATCGAACAATATATTGCATTCCAACGGAAAGTTTCTTTCTCCGGTGCAGTTTCCTGGTTGAAAATTCTTACGATCCCCAGACGACATCTTGCCTCTCGGCTGTTGACCACTTTTCAATAATAATAGTCATTGTTACAAAAAGAAAAAAAAAAAAAACGATAAATAATAATAATAATAATAATAATAATAATAAAACGTCTATCGTTAACTTGTCGCTATTTCAGTAGACTACAGATTAAAAGTGAAAAACAAATATAGTTGGAAAAATATCTGGATCTCGTCATTCCCTCACCAAAAAAAAAAGTTCCGAAATGTCTTGAAAAGAGATTAGAAGACATAAACTTTTGTGAAAGTATTGGCGTCATAGGAACAGAAACATCAAATTTAAACATTAAACAGAAACATCAAATTCTGTTTGAAGAGTAAAATAAGTATTAGAATCAGTATATTATTTATATTATTCGGACTTTATCCACTGTGCCATGTGTCCTTGAGGACATCTGTGTATGAATTTCTGGGTATTATAAACCTAATGTCTTCAGCAACCATTTTTAGCAGTGTTCATATTGCAATTTTTTTTGCTGTTATCATTACATGTTTTTACCAGAGCTCATATTGCAACTTTTGTTGTTATTATCGCTTTTCTCTGGCACTCCTTATTACTAGTTCCCATATTGTATTCATTTCTATGCTTGGTCGGCTCAGGAGATTCCAAACACCTGAAGAAGGCCGTGGCGTACAATGGATGAAACATTGTAATAAATATGGTGAAAAAGATGAGGACAATAGTCCGAATAATGTAAATAATGTACATAATACCTCATCTCAGAAATATAGACAGATACTGAAGGGCCGAAACGTTGTAATAAATATGGCGACAAAGATGAGGACAATAGTCCGAATAATGTAAATAATGTACATAATACCTCATCTCAGAAATATAGACAGATACTGAAGGGCAAAACGTTGTAATAAATATGGCGGCAAAGATGAGGACAATAGTCCGAATAATGTAAATAATGTACATAATACCTCATCTCAGAAATATAGACAGATACTGAAGGGCCGAAACGTTGTAATAAATATGGCGACAAAGATGAGGACAATAGTCCGAATAATGTAAATAATGTACATAATACCTCATCTCAGAAATATAGACAGATACTAAAGGGCCGAAACGTTGTAATAAATATGGCGACAAAGATGAGGACAATAGTCCGAATAATGTAAATAATGTACATAATACCTCATCTTTATAGACAGATAGAATGAGTATTAGTAAAATGAGTATTAGAATAGCGAGTAGACTTATGACTGGCTTTTCATTGAAAACTACCAGTTAATACTGTGAAAAATTCATAATAATACCGTATTTCCCTTATGTTAAGAGGCTAGAAATGATAAAACACACCATACAATTAACTAGATATTTTTAGGGAAAAATATATGAGGATTTAATAGTCTACCTTACTAGAAAGTCCAAGTCGCCGACTCTACAGAATCATTTTTCTTTCTGTTACAAATTATCACATTTTGGGCCTATTATTGTGTAGATTCAGAAGGGGACTATTTCGAAGGAGATTAAATGCTGAATTGATATGTGTTATAGTTTTCTATTTATAGCAACCGCCTCGATACTTTTTTGATCAGGATTAGTATAAAAAAAATATGGGAAAAAACGGACATTAATTTTTTCTCTTAGTAATGTAAAAAAATCCCGTCTGGCAAAGAAGTAAAGGAAAAGTAACTCAATTCGAAATTATGAAAAATCATAAATTCTTAAGGGAAAAGAGAGATATATAAAATTGCATGGATGATAAAAATAAGTAACATTGAATCGACACTAAATAAACATAACATTACATAAATCTATTTGTATCAGAAATATTTCAGAGACGACAGATGCTAATAAGATGTCACCACTCCTGATTTCCCGTATGCTAAGACGCTACAAGTGTTAAGACACACTTTTATAATTACTTAGGTATTTTTTTGGGCAAACGCATTTGAGGATGTAATATTTTACCGTACTATCAAGTCTAAGTCGCTGACTCTACGGTGTCATTTTTCTTTCTGTTACAAATTATCACATTTTGACCTACACCCTTGTGCAAATTAATTGAAACAAAATAAATAATTCCATTATTATTTACTTTTTTTCGTATTTTCCCAATGAAACATGACCCAGTGCACATATTAGTATTTTGTATGTCCATTTCACGAATTCGTTCCTTGCAGATTGACCACAGATTCTCGATTGGATTTAAATCAGGAGAGTTTCCCAGCCAATCTATAGTACTTTGATTTGCTCACTGGTAACGCTCGCCAGTGTGTTCGTGCTGAGTTACAATTTTCATACACTTCCTTGGAGTAACGTCCATCGCAGACAATAGCCGTAGGACAAATAATCGACAATCAAGACAATAGTGTCTGGGGGTGATAAAAATCTGATGCAATCACGGATGACGCAATATGTTTCAAGGCCAAACAAATTTCATCATACACCCCGAAAATAGATTCATATTACTGCACACCACTTCAAATTATCTAATCTGAGTAAAAAATACAAATCGATTACGCCCAATGACTCCAGTGGGTCGAAAACTGCCCTTATGGTGAAAGAAAGGAAACTAAAGTGGTTGTTTCAATTAATTTGCACAAGGGTGTATTATTAACTATTTTAACTAGCTTAAAAGCCGCAGTCCGTGCGGACTTTTAAGCTAGCCCCTGCGAAAGGCTAATTAGGCCTCCGGACCCAAACTAAAGGGACCTCTAGCTCAGCTTAGAAAACAGCAATGATAAATTTAAAGAGATACATTTGAATTCCTCAATTCACTCCATGGAACTTCAAAACCTCACTTTAACTCTGTTTCGGGCTATAAATCAAATTCCGACCAAAAGACCGATTTTGGCCGAAATTCCAATCCAGACCGAAAATTGATTTCTTCAAATCACAAACTCTGCGGAAATTGATGTGAGGTCTTCAAATTAGAAACTTTGCGGAACTTCAAAACCTCACGCTACAAAACCTCTCACTTTAACTCTGATTCCTTGACATTTTGAAGAAATAAAATTGATTTCTTAAATTCACAAAGTTTTGGAAATATTTTAAGCTGAATTTAAAACGGAAAATTATAAATTCACAAAGTTTTTGTTTTACTTTAAACTCAATATAAATGAAATTGTTTTTTTTTTAATCACTATTTTCCAGTTATTTTAAAATTTGGATTTTTAATTGTTCCATCCTCATCGGGATGCAAATCCCAATCCTAGATATTCAAGGACCAAATGAAAGACAGATTTTCAATCCCGGGATCATCCTGATTCTAAAAAGATATAATATGTCTATGTAGAGCAAGTGTAGCTCGAGTTAGAGGGATTTCAGACTCAGTCGTTTATTTATTATTAATTAGGTTAGTCCGCTGTTATTGTATGAATATATTATCGACTATCGATTTGTATTATTACAAGTAACTAACATTACCTAAATTAGTAAACCAGAGAATAAAATAAACGCAATACCTTTGTACACAGAGACTGTCAGCTGTTATTATTTTTGGTAGTCGAAAAAACAAAAAACAAAACAAAACAAAATAAACAATATATATGACATGATACTAATGGGACATACGGTATTTATGATATATGAATGATAATTGTAAGCTTATATTATATGTCTAGGAGGCGGACCTTGACAGACCAAGCGTCCGATAGCCCGATGCAATCAGGCTTACGAGACCTTGCCTATTTCAATCTTTGAGTCGCGAGGGAGGCGCTTCTGGTCAAGTGTGTTAGTTTCTCCGTCGCGCAGAGTTGTCCACCAAAATCAAATTCACACGAACGGCCTCGTCAGACTCTCTATGATTCACAGCCCCGGGTGGAGGGGGGTGGCGAGAAAGGGAATAGGGAGAGCGGATGACGATCCCGATGTTCGGATGCGAGCGGGTGCCGGCAACAGTATCAGGGGTTCATGATTGCTTGTATCTCGTGACTGGAGTTCGTGAAGGTTAAATTCCTCCCTACAACTTGGCCTTTCAGTGCTAAGACGCAGGGTGATTTTCGAGGACATTTTCCGGGTTAAAACGCGTCTTTGCATACGGGAAACTCGATAAGTAGCATAGTGTCAGTCAAAATTGAACGGGTTATATACGCATGGATTGACAATTCTCTCTAGGGCTAGAGTATCTGTTAGCTCGGGCCTCAGCTCTCTAAATTAGATTCGAGAACCGTTTGTGTCGGGCAATCTTGGATAGCGGGGTGATATTCTGGTTTATGGTGAAAAGGGTGCATTGGGCAAAAAAGGCTGAGAACCACTGTTCTCTCTCGGGAAACGGATATCTTATATAACTTATTATCACCCGGTTGGCACATGTGTACGCATTCTTGGCGGAACAGCTACTGACATCCTTTGAGGACAGAGTTTCCACCGGGTGGCGATGAGGTTACTTCCAGGCCAACCATCTAATGAACTTGACTCTTTTCATGCTTGTGTGTGTGTGTGTGTTTGTGTTTGGGGGGGGGGGGTCTTCTTGATCGGAGGTGCGCCTGGTAATTGAGAACAAACTATAATCTAAAGGAAAACGATTTCCATAAGAAAAATATCGGTAAATCTTCGAGAATAATTGTGCCACTCTTCAAATTGGGAAATACGATAATAAGTAGCATAGTGTCAGCCAAAATTGTACGGATCATATACGCATGAATTGACAATTCTGTCTAGGGCCAGAGTATCTGTTAGCTCTGCCTTAGTATCGGGCTTCAGCTCTGCCTTAGTATTGGACTTCAGCTCTCCATTAGTATTGGGCTTCAGCTCTGCTTTAGTATCGGGCTTCAGCTCTCCATTAGTATCGGTCTTCAGCTCTGCCTTAGTATCAGGCTTCAGCTCTCCATTAGTATCAGGCTTCAGCTCTCCATTAGTATCAGGCTTCAGCTCTCCATTAGTATCAGGCTTCAGCTCTCTCCTGGTGTCGGGCTTCAGCTCTCCCTTAGTGTCGCACCTCAGTTCTGCCTTAGTGTCGGGCTTCAGCTCTCCCTTAGTGTTGGGTTGCAGCTCTCCCTTAGTATCGGGCTTCAGCTCTCCCTTAGTATTGGGCTTCAGCTCTGCCTTAGTATTGGGCTTCAGCTCTGCTTTAGTATCGGGCTTCAGCTCTGCTTTAGTATCGGGCTTCAGCTCTGCCTTAGTACTGGGCTTCAGCTCTCCATTAGCATCGCACCTCAGCTCTGCTTTAGTATCTGGCTTCAGCTCTCCATTAGTATTGCACCTCAGCTCTGCCTTGTTGTCGGGCTTCAGCTCTCCATTAATAGTGGGCTTCAGCTCTGCCTTAGTATTGGGCTTCAGCTCTGCCTTAGTATTGGGCTTCAGCTCTCCATTAGTATCGGGCTTCAGCTCTGCCTTAGTATTGGGCTTCAGCTCTGCCTTAGTATTGGGCTTCAGCTCTCCATTCGTATCGGGCTTCAGCTCTGCCTTAGTATCGCACCTCAGCTCTCTAAATTAGATTCGAGAATCATTCTACTGATCCTTTTTATTGAAGTATGCTTCAGTTTATTCATTTAATGATTAGTTATAAAATAAAACAAATTACTGTACATATTCTGTTGCCATTAAATCTATAAAACTCCTCTATAAAAATAATTCACATAAATGTATTTGTACGAATATAGAAAAGAATTATGATTTTCAATAATATATGCATATTATTTTGAATGCACCTTTTGAATCGGACAATCTTGGAATGTTGGAGGAAGTGACATTCTGATTTATAGTGAAAAGGGTTCACATGGCAAAAAAGGTTAAGAACCACTAGTCTAGATCACCGGTAAGGACATAATGTCTTTTTTTAGTCCGTCTCCAAATAACATTTTCATAAACTTCTCGAACTTAATACGAACTTATTCATAGAAAGATCTAAATTATTTTAAAAGAGATTCTTAGAGAATTTGTTTTAATCTTTAAATTTATTTTTGGTATTATTCCCCATTGATATCTCTGCTCGTCATTCGCTTTTACGTAAACCTTCTGTTCTGAATTCATAGAATTTTCCTTAAGAACAGGTTTTAAAAACATTTGTAACTCTTCGCTCATACTTTAGGAACTTGTATTAGTGTTTGAAGTCTGTTCACAAGTCGTTATTTGAACCTTTCTATTTTTAGCTGCCGAATTGAAAAAAATATAGTTTATTTCCAACAACGAATCTGACCTCATATATTTAAAAAATATCTACTTTCAAGGTAAGAAAATAATGACTTATTCATCAAAACATTAAATATAGTCATGCATTTTTAATAAAATAGATGAAGATATTTTTTAAATTGCAATACTTTAGTTGTTATCAGTGGTGTATTGTATAGTCCGTTGATACATAAATTCAAAAAAAAATATTTTAAAATATACAGTGTAACCCGGATATAAGAGACCCGGATATAAGAGAAACCCGGATATAAGAGAGATTTTCTCTGGTGCCAAATTAGAGCCTTACTAACCTAAACAAAATAGACCAAACCCGTATATAAGAGAAACCCGGATATAAGAGACTTCTTCTCCGGTCCCGACAACTCTCTTATATCCGGGTTACACTGTAATCACAGCCTGACATTCTTCTACCCACGCGGAAAAATTTTTTGTAAAGAAAATCGAATTTTAGATAATTTATACTTCTTTCATTGGATATCAAGATTCAAAATTGTTTGCAAAATGTATCTATAAGCTTTTCGCTCTATAATTTATGAACCATGAAAAAACTGGTTCATATTTTATATAATGCCTTTTCAGATACCTTATTTGAAGAAAAATATTCACTAATTAAGGTGTTAATCATTAATAAATTACTTTTATTCGGTTAAAAAAAAAGTTATGTTTTTCTGGTGCTGAGTTGTCTCGTTTTTGAGTTGTCCCTTCTCGATTTTATTATATCTTACTTTTTTTTCTTCTTTTATTTTGTTTGTTATTTATACATTTGCTTTCTGGTCGGTAAAGCGTTGTTCTTTTGTCTTGTTAATGTTTTATTTTATATTTTAGTTCTTTTACAGTTTCAAGTCCGAACGTCTGTCGCAAGAATTATTAAAAGACCTGTAATTGGAAACTTTTCAAGTAAACATTACAAATCTCGGTCGAAAATCAAGACGAATGATTCATTCATGTCTTTTGTCCTCTGGACAGCCATTTTGATAATAGAACAGAAAAAAATTCAGGATCAATCAATAAACAATTATCGTAATTCCTACGTATGCCATTTACACACTATCGTTATCGATTTTTCATTTTCTAAGACAAGGTGCGGCGGAAATACCTCCCACATATATCTCCCAGAAATATATTCTATATAATGGTAAGACATTAGGGGTAATGATGTCTTTATCTAGCTAATGTCTTACCATTATGTGAGAGGTATATGGCGGAGGTATTTCTGCCATACCCTATATGAATTCTAACATTTACAGTAGAGAATTAGTACTTAAATATTAACTAGAAATGTAAGAGGAAACACTGTCATTATTTCAGGAATTATTTGAACCAGTTTCCTTGTTTTTGTTGTTTTTGTCCCGAAATTTCCTTTTGTACTCTCTACGACTTTCCTCGTAAGACAGAAGATTTGGGACGATACACTGTAAGTACAGTACAAGTAGTTTTTTACATCTTTACATCTTTTCCCTCCGATTGTCTTTAATATTAAATAAGGCCAGTGAGTTCTTCAGCTTCTTAATATTCGTTGAAGTTTTTAAAAGGTAATTTTACATTATTATTATTATTATTATTATTATTATTCAAATAAGAGAAAAAAAGCAAATGGCGTAAAAATCCACAGTTCGTAGCATTTACTTTTTAAAAAAGTGCTCAATAGAAAGTAGAGCAAAATATTATAATAATATTTTTATTATAATAGTTTATAATAAAACATTTCAAATCGTTACACAAAAGCTTTCATGTTTCAATACTATGATTGTACTTCCTCAGGCGATGGTAGGTAACTGGTTTTAAAAATGATATTTAGGGAAATTTAAAAACAAGTCGTTACCTATTTTCCGAAAGTTAAAGGGGATGCATGAGGTCAGAATTAAAAATATACTTGTGGGTATGTCTAGATTAACCAATTGAAAGTTAGATCTACGCTAAGTAGAAAAATAAGGTCAGAGGATGGAGGTGGGTGAGTTATTATGTCACGATAAACCAGCGCTTAGACAATAAATCGTTGTGGTGAATATGGCAGCGACAAATGTATCATAAACGTAGCTAAATATGACGTTCTATTTGTTGAAGTGGAGGTTAATCAGACATAAAGTTATCAGAAACAAATTCCTTTAAAAATTTTTTTATATTCAGGAAGCTTCTTAAAGGAACCTGTAGATAAATTAAAAATCAATGTTATCACCAGTTACCAACAATCGCCTGAGGAAGTACAATCTTAGTATTGAAACATGAAAGTTTTTGTGTAGCTATTTAAAATGTTTTTTTTTATTATAACCTCTTATAATAAAAATATTATAATTTATTATTATTATCTTTAAATTATTCACAAGTGTTCTGTAATGATAAAATCTTATTTAATAAATATATTATATTAATATAAGATGGAATAAAGATAATAAATTATGAGTAATAATGAAAAGTGTATTGATTCAGAATGTTAATATAAAAAGCAACACTAATAAGATGGAATAAAATAGTAATAATAATTATCAATGAATTGCGAGGAAATCACTCTAATTATCATTATGCCTCAGAAGAATAAAAAATATGAAGTAATTGTAATGGCAATGGTAATATTAACTGTTTCCTTATAAGGAAACATTTGGAATTCATTGACTGAACAGCTATTGCTACTTTCGGTTAAAATTTAAACATTTTTTTTCTAAAATAATCTTTGAAGAAAATAGGGTTTTGAAGTCCATTGTTATCGCTCTTATAAGTATTGATAGCGCTTTCCTTCCTAGCCTTTTCTTTGATGCTTTGTGGAACATCAGTATCTTCATCATATCATTATTTTCTCTTCAAGTTATATGTCATATCCATTTTAGTTGTTGCTGCTACTGAGGCTCCCCAAGTGATGTGCTTTCTGTAATCTGACACAGTTCTTTGTGATTCTGCCGCGCCATTCTACCAAATCCGAAGAAAATTGATAATCGTTAAGAGTTACAGAGATTCATTTGCTAGAGCGTCCTGGGTAAGCCGATAAACTACATCCAACAGCAAGGCCTCTGATCAGGAGGTGTTGAGGAGCATGAAACCACCTCTTAATTGCTGGTGTTCCCAGATCCACCCTGACCCAGGGTGGTAGCACCTGTTAGGGCCCCGGTTATCGGCAAATAGTTAACTCCAAAACTGGGGTTAAAACGTGTAAAAATAGGTTTTAATACCAGCGATACATTTCTGTAGGTAGGCAATCCGGGCTTGCCACAAGATCCCGATTTTGTTACCTTTAATCCTTTACCATCCTATTTTCTCCTTGTTCTGCCAACCAGTGATTCAGATTTGTTAAGTAGGTTATCTCCCGTTTCTCTAGTCTTCAACAAGACTTATAAGTCTTAGATTCTCTAGGCCTTCTTTTTACGTTTAAGTCTCTCAGAAGTTTAAGCTGTCTTTTTTTTTTTTGATTGTAAATATACGTTACTTTGTGGTTCTCATTTACATTGAAATTTCATCGTTTTTCACCGGCATTCGTAGGTAGAACCAGATGTCTGCTGTTTCAAACCTCTTCTTAATCTGTGATTTCCCATATCCAGTGCCATGTACGAGAGTAGATACTACATAGCTGTTCAGCATTTTTTTTTTTTTTTGACTTTTGTTTCTGAGGACTTCCATACTTTGTTTAGTTTCTTGGAAGAAACTTTTCACTATTCCAGTGAACCTTCGGATTGTCGTCTGTTACTTTACAACGCAGATAGATACATTTTTGTATCTTTTTGATTTTCATGTCTCCAGTACGTGACTCAACCATTAGGTCGTTTCTATCAGAAAAAAAGTGACAGTCATGTAAGGATATTTATGTTAAAATCTTGGGTTGTATTATGTCATTGGAACAAACACTAGTCAACTAAAGACAAAAGTTGTGTAAATGTGAATGTAATCGTCCAGCAAAAAACGAATACATGAGATTATTATTATTATTATTATTATTATTATTGTTGTTATTATTATTATTATATTTCCTTTGATTTCTGGTGTATATTCCTATCTTTCGGGGTCCCAACCAGAGACCTAATGTCAGAAATGGCATCATGAGATTTTTCACCGAGCAGTTTTGAAAAAATAGTCACACATATTTTACATAGATAATGCCCTTCGTAAGGTGTGGGCTGTACTTGTGAGTACAAATCATTATTATTATTATTCCCCTGTTTCTTCTTCTCCTCTTCCTCCTCCTCCTCCTCCTCCTTCTTCTTCTTCTTCTTCTTCTTCTTCTTCTTCTTCTTCTTCTTCTTCTTCTTCTTCTTCTTCTATGTGCCATGTCCCTTGGCACATAGAATATTAGCTATCATGGCTCCCTACAGT